TCTGTAGAGCTCAAGGGTCCTATGTTTGCTTGTATTTTTAATGCTAATCTTGTGAAAATAATTGACAAATGAATGGAAAACTCTATTAGATGCATATTACTGTATATGGGACTATGCTTTTCTCCAAGCCCCATTAAGTGCTTCCTAAAATTTTGATAGTGGGACCACATATGTAAAAATTTCTCATTTGTGTGGAATCATTTCTGATTTCAGGGGAGATCCTTGTCTATCAGAAAGGGCAGTAATGGGGGAAGAATAATTTGGCGTCCTTATCTTGTGCTTGATTATCAATGCTGGAGAAAAAGATCTGTAAGCGTGTTTATACAGTACACTTAAGTTTTCCTGATGATCTCCCTTTCCTCTATGGTGATTTACTTAAATATCCATATTAAGTATAGTCTCAAGGTACGGTAGGCAGTGTGAGAGTCTAGAGGACTTTAGTTATAAAGGAATCCAGCCAGTGAACATAATTCTTATTACTAGACTGCCACAAGGAAGAAGTTAACTTGCCCTGTATATCAGGGTACAAAAAACTTCAATGATGTGCCTAAATAAGTTATAAAGATTTAGGCCAATCAGAATCTGACAGCAGTTTCAGGTAGAGGTGCATGCCTAATGTTAATCAGTGTAGATTCCATTTACTGCATTATCTTGATCACTGAAATAAAAGCTATAAAAGATTCAATTCTGTGATTGAGAAGGCTTTCTATTGCAGTTATTATCTGCAACCCGGAGAGATTTAGCTTGGGCTGATTCCAAGGCTAAAATATAGTCAGTCAGTCTGGGTAACTGCTCTGTTTAAGGTATAGCATAGTATTCCAGGGGTTCCTGACCTTTTTGAGAGAAAAGATAACCTTGAGATGAGATGGGAAGGGAAGCAGTTCTGTGCCGGCAGTCAAGTCCCTGACTACAGTACAGGTTGTATTGACTGAATTCACCTCTTACTTCAAATCCTTGTAGACTGGAGCATAGACCTAAAGTGGACCTACCTGTTGGGAGCCTCTAGTGCAAATCCATCAAAGCTGGGGAAATGAATATCTCTAAAAGCTTCAAGTTCCTGTTTAGATTTTCCCCATAAAGGTACTACAAGGAAGTTTTTGTTGTTGGTTAGACAGAGTCTCACTCTGTTGCCTAGGCTAGAGTGCAGTGGCACAAACTCAGCTCACTGCAACCGCCACCTCCCAGGTTCAAACTTCTCCTGCCTCAGCCTCCTGAGTAGCTGGGATGACAGGTGCACACTATCACACCTGGCTAATTTTCGTATTTTTAGTAGAGACGGGGTTTCACCATGTTGGTCAGGCTGGTCTTGAACTCCTGACCTCATGATCCGCCCGCCTTGGCCTCCCAAAGTGCTGGGATTACAACCGTAAGCCACTGTGCCTGGCCAGAAATTTTTTTTAATCACGATGAAAACACAGTTAAACATATAAGTGCATACTCTGCACCACTGTTTTTAGTGACAGGATTTCAGCAGTGCACAGAAATAAGGTCCCTGCCCTTGAGGAGCTTGTGGTCTAGTTAGGGGAGATAGACATTAAACACATAAATATGTCAATGTAATAAGTACCATGGAGAAAACAGAATAAGAGTGTTAGGGAATGTTGGTGGGGTATGGTTATTTTATATACAGTGGTTTGAGAAGGCCTCCTTGGGAAGGTGGCATTTCAACAGAGACCTAGATGAACCAAACCTTGTGGGTATTAGAGAAGAACATTTAGGGCAGGAGTGACAGCAAGTCCAGAGGCCCCAAAGTGGGAACTACATTGCCATGATGCCATGGAGAACAGTCATGATGACTGGAGTGAAGTGAGTAAGGAGAATAGTAAGAAATAAGGCTGGAAAGGCTAGGTGCCGTGGGCTCATGTGTGTAATTCCAGCACTTTGGGAAGCCAAGGTGGATGGATCACCTGAGGTCAGGAGTTCAAGACCAGCCTGGCCAATGTGGTGAAACCCTGTCTCTACAAAAAAATACAAAAATTAGTCAGGCATGGTGGCTGGCATCTGTAATCCCAGCTACTCAGGAGGCTGAGGCAGGAGAATCACTTGAACCCAGGAGGCGGAGGTTGAGTGAACCGAGATCACGCCACTGCACTCCAGCCTGGGTAACATGAGTGAAACTCTGTCGCAAAAAAAAAGAACAAAAGGAAAAAAAAAAGAACAAAATTGTAAGCTATGAACCCTTTAGGAAAATTCATACAATTTTCTGTTCATTGTGACATGATTCAAGAATCTCTAGCTTAAGTAGACAAGGTTATAGAATCTCGAGTCATGGATTTTTTTCTTCTTTGGTAGGTTTTAGGGTATCTTGCTGTAATGATTTATCCTTTCACCCTTTTATTCTGTAGTTAATTTGAAGGCATTTAGTGCGAACAGTATTGTGGAGTTACAGCCAAATTCACTGAAAGGTTACTTCACTTGTATTTTGCCATTTTCTTGCTCTGGAATATCCCGGCACTGCCATTATCTGGCCCTATGACTTTGGGCAAAGTATGTCTGTGCCACCGTTTCCCTGTTTGTAAAATGAGGATTTATAATATATCTATTCCATAGGGTTGTTATAAGAATTTAATGTAAGGCTAGAGAACATTGCTATATACTTGGTCAGCTGCCAAATGTGAACTATTATTAACGTATCAGATACTATTTTTAGGTAAAGTTTTTTTTTTTCTAAGGAACAAAAGGGACCCCTGCCCCCAACCATCTTTTCTTTCCAAGTTCCCTTTGTGATTCTGTATCTTGTCCTGAGCAGGAGAAGTGCATGGACAAGCCTGGGCCAAAGTTGGACAGTCGGGCTGAGGCCTGTTTTGTGAACTGCGTTGAGCGCTTCATTGATACAAGCCAGTTCATCTTGAATCGACTGGAACAGACCCAGAAATCCAAGCCAGTCTTCTCAGAAAGCCTTTCTGACTGATCTCAGCATTACCTCTTTGGAAAAGGAAAGTAGTTCAAGAAATGAAGAGCTGTTGATGGGATGATTGAAGAAACAGCTGATTGAAGATTGGCTCCCATCTTTTGTTACTCTTGGGATATCCTGTCATCTG